AATTAAAAAGACTCGAATTTACAAACTTTGATTAACACACACGCAAAAGCGAATCCAAAACAAAACTTGTAAAATTTCACATCTTGATGCGAAATGTTTTTCGGCCAATAGAAAACTAGGAAACATTTAAAAACAAAATTCAAATAATCTTCAATTCTCAGAAACAAATTCTTTTACGGACCTTTTCGCGAGTCGACGCGAAGTTTGTTCGTCGTCCAATGGAAAGGCCCGAATCATATTCGAGAGTGAATTCCCAAATGACCTTTTCGAGCCCCACAAACAAAATAAAAGTTCGCTTGTCACCAGGGAGAAGGAGACGAGCATATTAACATGTCCCTTGAGTTGGACTAAAACTTTTGTATTTTCCATCAGTGACGGAGACCGATGTTTAAGCCTAGATAAAAAAATAAATTTTGGGAGAGCACAGTCCCTTTCCACTTGGAAAACATGTTTCACTCAGTCTTCCTGTTTACATTTCCTTTGGCCATGTGCCATAATCAAGCAAACTAGATAAAAAATCGCTTTTCGTGACCATTAATCTACCAGGAAACAGACAGGTGTTGTTACCAAGAACACTGGCGAGAAAGATTAAAACTGTGCAAACAAAAGAAAAAAAGAAAAGACCAATCAATAAACTATTCAATCCATCCCAATATCTGAGATTTATGTGTCATTTTTAATAAAAACGATTTATCCAGACCCCATCTGTCTCGCTCCATCTTTTATTTCTACTATTTTCATTCACCAATGTTTTGTTTTCGCTGCTTTCATTTCCTTACAAAGAGCAAATGCGAGACAACGTTACTTAATCTCCGGCATGTTAGCCAATGCTGGGCAATTTCCTCACAGATAAAAAACAAAAAAACTTGAAGCGAAAGACATATCACTTTTCTGACGAATGTTGAGAACACCATGGACAAAGTTTGTGACCAACGTAGATTTAAAAAAAAAAAAAAAGAATAGGAGCTACAAAGAAACTGTTACAATTAGAAAGAGACAGCTGAAATCCGAAGATATATAGACATAGAGAAAGATGCCTTTCAGAAGCTAGGCAAAGTATTAAGAAATAGGACATTTTCGATTGAACAAAGAAATCGTGCGAAACAGTTATATATCATTAATCTCCTATATGCAGCGGATGCTGGACAATTTTGCTACAAATTCTCACAGATGAAAAAAAACTTCTTCCATTAGGACAGTACAGCCAGTCAACAATGCCGCAGTAAAAGTGTTAATCAATGATTTCCGCATCATTCCCACGTGTTCCATTTTTTACAGGTTAAGTAGATGAGTAATAATCTTATGCCGTTCCAAATCGAGCTGACAAAATTGATAAAACCTGGTTCCGCATTTAACCAGAGTCTAGCAACGGATTAAATTAATCTAATCGGCTGTTTGATATGCATTTAATTGCACGCTTATTGTGGCATTAAGTATCTGTAAACACTTCGACGTAGGAATTAAAAGGAGGAATTAATCAAACTAGACTGGACTGAAGTGATGACATTTATTAAGAAAAGTAAGCGGGAAAACTAGTGTTATGATAGGAACGTGTATTTTCGCGTTACGAAGAAACAACAAAAATTTAAAGCAATAAACAGTTGTATTAACATAAAATATAATAAATGAAAAATCAGGGTACATGTCTCTCGATGAAAAAAAAAAGAGATGTAGAGTTGTAATGACACCCGAGCTTACGGAAGGAGAGGATAAGTTATGACTTACTGGGGCAACGGCGTTGGCAAGCTGGTTATTGAAATTATTAGGGAGTCGCTAACTGGGTGTCCTGTGATTGGATGAAAAACAACCAATCATAGGATACCTTTTTAGACTTTCACCAAACCCCCATGTGAGCGGTTTTTACAAACCCTCTTCCTCTTTTGCTTGTTGGGAACCTCAGAGAATTTCTGGCTTGTATTGTTTTTGTTTTTTCTTTGAGCGTGAGAGTAAACGGAAGATATGTGCGTAGCCTTGCGCAGCTGACGAATTTTTAGTTCGGTTTGGGTCTTTCCGAGCGTTCACATCCGGCTCGTGTGTTAGTGTAGCGTGAATCAGAAGATTTGATTCGGGGATGAATGTAACACCAGGAATGAAGAAAACGAAACGAAGAAAAAGAAAATTCTGATTTAACAAATGTGAAAACATCAAATTTAAATTACATTTAAGCATTCGACTACAGTTTATGTTGTGTAGGAAACCTACCACCCCTCTTGAAGATGAACTTGTCTACAAACAAAGACGTTAAATAGTGGCATGTCAGAGAAGTTCTTGGCTGAGCTAGTTATAGACTACTCAGGCGATTTCTGTACCTACTTACCAACCAAATAAACCCCTTTTTATTGTTACATGTTATTTGGCGTTTGTCTTTACTAACCCCAAATCAACATCATAACAGTTTACAATATCAATTACTTCTCGAAAAGTTTTCTTTTTTATAAGTAATTAAGTTCGAAATACATCGTAGACTTATGAAAAACGTATGTATGTGTGTATGTATAAAAACGCCTGCAGGCAGCTCGATCTGTCGTGTATAGATTGTGGTAGAGTTTGTCGATGGTTGGTCTAAGGAGTCACTTGAGAGCGAACCGACGGAGGGTGGCAATTGACTATAAAACCGTAGACGTCCAGCAATTGAAATGTGATATTTGTGATAAGATATGCGGGTCCATAAGCGGTTTCATGTACATTTTAAATTGTATGATAATGTGCCACTCGCATTTGGACCTCTTAAGTGCCGTGTTTGCGCCAGAGTACGTAGGCCCCTTGCTGGGCTAAAGAACCACATTCGTTCAGCACATCTATAGATATTCTCCAAAAAGATATGTAGTAATGGCCGTATTCGGACACGAGCTTGCAACCACTATGTATGTATGTGGTTTCCGACCATAAGATCCGAGTTCGAATCTTATCTAGCTCGATTTGTCAGGAAGGTGATTTCTTGATGTTGTCGACCCGGGGAGGTGATTTCAACATACGGTACTCTTGAAATGTGTTTGAAAACCATTCCACGAGTTAACTCAAGTCTAGGGTAGGCGGAACTGTTCGGAAGCTGTCGATGGCTGCGATAGCACGGAGTCACAGTCCATCGTGACCGAGGTTTTGAGCGTACTGGCCTTGTTAAACATCATGATACCACATTATGTCTTCTCCACTAGAAAATGTAACTAAGGTTTGCTCAGTATAATTGCAGAATGAATTACAGGTGGGTTCCGTGGGTTGAGCATCCATCTTTAATTTAGATTTGCTAGCCACCCTGGCAGATTGATTCCCTTATATTTCTTATGTATCCTTACTCTCCTTTATTCTTAACTTTCTGACTCTCCTTTATTCTCGTCTTCTTTTCTCCCCACTAAACTTTCATCATTTTGCTTTCTTCTATCTTTACTCCCTGTTATTTGTACACTTCTCACAATCCTTTATTCTCGCCTTCCTTACTCTCCTTTACTCTTTCCTTATTTTTGCTTTCCTTTCTCTTATTTATTCTTACTCTCCTCGTCTTTTCCATTCTCGCATTCTTTACTCTCCTACTCAACTGTGCAGCCTGGCGTTCGTTGCCATTCGTGCGGCCGTATGTAAAAATCATACCTGCCTTCTCACGATATGAATATCCTGCTATTATTAAACACTTCTCAGTTTACTCACTACTACACACGTTAAACGTTGAAAACAGAATAGCCACAAATGTACACGAATAACAAATGTAAACTAGTCTATGTGGCAACACATAGTCATCTACCGTAAACTTTATTTAAATTTAATAACTCAAAAACGAAAGATTTATATGGACGTTTGTCATAGTTATCGTGTGAGGAACCCGCCCCAAAGTTTGTAAAAGTATTTTTGATACATCCTGTATATATATATATATATATATATATATATATATATATATATATATAATTGAGATAAAGATGAAATGAAATGAAGTGATTTAGACAATTAGCTCGATCGATATGAACTGATTTAGAACTGATTAGGTTAATTTATTCTTAATTAACGATTAATTAGCAAGGTAAAATTTCTCGTTTGAGGTGCATTACTTGTTGTAAATGTGTGAAAATTGTAAACATTATTTTTACTAGAAAGTATGATGAACGCAAAAACGTGAAACCCAGGGGGACAAACTCATATCTATACAACTGAATATATATATATATATATATATATATATATATATATATATATATTGGATCAATACAAATATAAAATTTGTCACTGAGCTGATTGATGTCATATTCAGCACCCCTGACTCCAGAGTTTCGTAGACAAACCTTTGTGTAATCATTCGGTTCACTCGTCAGGAGGTTTCTGCAATTGGCTGCCGATTTTCTCATTTTTGTTATTTTTCTACTAAGTTAAAAAAAAGTAATTGATATTTTTTATTGTCTTAGGTTGATTTTTTGCATGCGTGTGTACGCAAGCACACGTGTGTGTATGTGCGTATGTGTGTAATATGTGGTTATTTTCCCTTTTCGTCTTTTTCTTGTCTCCTTATACTTTCTTCCTATCCCTTTTTCTTTTTTTTCTCTTTCTCTCTCTTTCGGCTCTGAGCGTCAAAAACCATCTAACAATGTCATATCCGGTATCAAAGACGGGATTTTTATGGTAATTTGTCTTTTTGAATGTTCTGGAGTTTTCTTAAAGTTGAGAAATATAGTATATTCCGTTTATTTATTTATTTCTTGTTAAAATAATTTCTTTGTAATTAATGCTTAAATAGCAAAGTATTTGTTTATGTCTTTAGATTTAGTGTGTGTGTGTGTTTTATGTTCTTCCATTAGTACATTTTAAACATGTGCGTGTAATACATGTCTTTTAAATATATATCCAGGCAGCAACCCTTATTTTACCCATGTTTTATTAAATTGTACCGATAATCGATATTTTATGTTCAGCTTTTATATATAACAAAATATGATATTCTAAAAGACTTCTTAAGTATTATTATAAAATAGAGTAAGGTCATTTCTTTTTATTTGGTTTTCTCTTTTATTTTCCAGAAATTCCTGCGTCATCTGCTGAAACAAAGCAGCTGTGAGGCGACTGAAGACGAACTGATATGTTACGCTGAAACAATTGTAAGCAAGAGTTGTATTTTTTCAAATAATTATCGATCTTACTGCGAAACGATCGCGGTGTTTACAATGACTCTATGACCCGAATGTAATCGATTACTGTAACGAGATTGATTCTCACTGGGTACTCGGTACTTATGGCTTTGTTCCGGACAAAGCTAAGATTGGCTAATAACAATAGAACAGTAGTTTGTTGAGTATGCCATTATTGACATTATTATTTTGACATAAAAAATTGTCCTTTCCATGGCAAATGTTCCGATGAACTCTACTCTTTAGTTCCACTAGTTCAGAAATTTCCAACTAGGACACACCATGCTACTTCCAAGGAGTCGAACCAACCACATTTCCTCCGTTTTTCAAATGTATGAAGAAAGTTCCGCTTAAGACAGCATTTTCCAAGGAACTGTCAGGATATGGAACAGACATTCGCGGAGATGCTTCCCTAAATTCTTTATTCTTGATCACTTCACGTCAAGGGTGAATCATAATCTATCCTCCTTTTTCGTCTAATCTTCACTTACTACCATTTTCTATTCCATTTTAATATCAGTCAGTTATGTGCCATGCGTGATACACACTTAGGGGATCATGTATCTTTCGATACATGACTGACACGGCAGATTTTTTCCCGTAGTAGGTTACCATTTCTTTCTGTGGTAGACCAGTTGCCATCAAAGGCTATAGAACCCGGTCTAACCTGCTATTTACCCATAGCTGAGGGGAGAAGAAGAGGATTTCTACCTCTCCCACGTAAATGAATGTAATGGACTCGATTTTAATATCACTTACCTTATTCATTATTACCATATTCACTGTAATTCTCTATCAGGAGTGGCTCTCGAGCATTGTATTGGGTAAACTTTAAGTAAAAAGAAGTTACTAACGAGGAAAAAGGGGCTTTCAAATTGAATCTGGAGAAAATGAAAAAGTTATATTTATAATTTTAAAAACTTTTTTCTTGCTTCGCTTATTTTTATATTGTTTCTTTTTCCCGCGTTAAACACTATTTGTCTCTTTTTGTTTCAGCTGAAACTCTTTGATCGGAATAATGACGGGAAGCTGCAGTTAAGCGAAATGTCAAAGTATGTTAACAATTTTTGTTTTTGTTTCCTTTCCATACATATTTTTAACAACCTTTGACTAATTAAACAAATTTCTCTACATTTAGCAAACGTGTAAACCATATGAAAACAAAAATAAGTTCTGATCCCAGAATAAATACGAGCATCTTGATATAGGCGATTATTTAGGTATCTCCAAAAGAAAGCGAAAATAAAATCCAATCCCAGAAAAAATACGAGTATCTTGATATAAGCTATTATTTAGGTATCCCCCAAACAAATTGGCAATAAAATCCGATCCCAGGATAAATACGTGTATCTTGATATAGGCGTTTATTTAGCTATCTTCAAAAGAAAGCGACAATAAAATCCGATGCCAGAATAATTACGAGTATCTTGAAATAGGCGATTATTTAGGTGTCTCCAAAAGAAAGAGGCAATAAAATCCGATGCCAGAATAAATGTGAGTATCTTAATATAGGCTATTATTTATGTATCTTAAACAGAAAGCGACAATAAAATCCGATCACAGAACAAATACGAGTATCTCGATATAGGCTTTTATTTAGGTATCTCGAAAATAATTTGGCAATAAAATGCGATCCCAGAATAAATACGAGTAGATTGATATAGTCGATTATTCATGTATCTCCAAATAAAGCGACAGTAAAATCCGATCTCAAATAGGCCGTGAGTGCCACTAACACGCAACGGGTTACAGAGTGTGAGGGAAAGAGCAAAGAGTCGTGATAGAGGAAAGGATGAAGAGAAGGACGGGGATTAGATCAATGCAACTGAAAATGTTGATTGACTTTGCATTTGAATAATTGAAGACTATAGCTATCAGAGAAGCAAGTAAGAGGAAGGGAATTCCACAGACGGGAAGTGCGAGACATGAAGCTATTGGAATAGAAGAGATGGCTACATTTAACCGTTTCGACAGTGAAGGGGTGGGACTGAGATGCCAAACTAGCAACACGCTTAAATTCATGCAGTCTGGGAACCAGCGAAAGTAGCTCGTCGGAGCAGTTACCGTGAAAGTATTTGTAGAAAAAAACAAGGGAAAACGACAGCAGGTCTATGAGAAAGTGTTTGTAGACGAGATGCCAGATCAGGACCAATCACATTGCATATCCGTCTTTATTTCAATTCCGAGCTAAATCCGAGACAATTTAATATTTCCAATAAGCAAAATGCTCTGCAGTATTTCAAAACGAATTTAATCGTTTTTCTTGTTATCATTAAAATCTATATAATCGTCCATATTGACAAAACTATTGATAGGCTGATGTTTGGAATAATATATATATTTGCTCTACCCTAAACACATCGAGCACTATTACGTTTACTCCTCTTGGCTAAATTTGATGATTATTTATTTGCTTGCCTGTGTATACGCGCCAACACGTGCGTATACGGTTGCTTATATCTGGTCATTTGACTAATTATATATATATATATATGTGTGTGTGTGTGTGTGTGCAAAAATATATAGAAAATAGGAAAGAACTCGTTAGGTAAATAATCCAAAGTTCTTTAGTATTTTTGTTATTATTTTTAAAAAATAGTGCTCGATACAAAAGTAGAGCATAAATATAATCATTTATTTAAAAATATAATTCCATCGCTACATAAGAGCGATGGAATCATATTTTTAAATAAATAATTATATATATATATATATATATATATATATATATATATAAAATAAAAATTAACGGATTTAAAAATGTTTCCATCGCTGCACAGGAATTACCATGTTTCACAAACAGAAACTAAAAACTTGAAATTCAATTATATAATTAAATTAAAAGCCCTAGTTCTGTTTAATTTTCAAGCGAATTTTGGAATAACTTATTTTGAAATTTACTGAGTTTTATAAGCACTAACATGCATAATATTTGTTTCCAGGGATACGGGGAAATCCAATCATTTTGACAAGGGGCGGTAGCATTTTGATTTATACTGACGACTATTGTATCCAATATGAGTTACTTTTGAAAAGAGGTTAAGTCGAAGTAGGGTAGGTGTGCCTTTTTTCAACGAATTACGACATCCATTATGACATCATATACATATATATATAAGTTAATACCAAAAGTCCTTGCCGTGTGTTACGTCGTGTGGGAAGACGTGTTTACTGATACGCAAATAAGTGCGTGCATCACGTGCATGGAAAGCGAGGAGGTGGGAGTGGATGCCTTACTCTTGACCAATGCAGGTGCGTTGCGCACTCATATCAGTCGAAGCAGCTCGTTCGAGGTTGTTTGCTTTATGACTTTAAGGTGGGATTAAAACATTCCCATCGCTATAGATACACATTTATAATAATCGCAGTACCTTATCAGTCATCTTTAATGAAAGTGGATAAAAAAGTTATTGCTTCTCAAATACATACATATATATATATATATATATATATATATATGTGTGTGTGTGTGTGTTTTATTTGTATGTGCAGTACTTAGTGGAAAGCGCTCAATATCAGTGATAGAGTTAACATATTCAGATGTATGGATATACGTTTGTGACCCTGGGTTTCACGCTTTTGCAATCATCATACAAACCGTATATATTTACATATATATATATATATATATATTGGCAGTATATTTTCATTCAAACATGTTTCATTGAATAACATAGACATATTGTGTCTACTTATTTTATACTGATCCTTTCCAGTTATCTAATCAGTTTATTGATGTTAAGATGAAATTCATCAAGGAAGGCACCGTAAGTTTTTTAAACCCCAAGTACTTTCGACCTTTTGTAAGATCATCTTCAGGGGTAAATTACAAAGACAAACTTATTGTAACTGCAATAACATTATCAAGACGTCTTACACTTCATTTGTCGGATACAAGTTCTATTACACAACATGTAAAGACCCATTCCTGTTCACCTTCACAATACATGGAAATACTTGTTGGCAATACCAATATACTGCACCACTAAAATAATAAGCAAAGAAACTGAATTAAAAAAATTCAATAAAATGCCTAATCGCAGTACCTTATCAGCCATTTTAATGAAACTTGATAAAATCGTGATTGCTGCTCAAATACGCCATTATACATATATATATTGATGCATGTTTCATTAAATAATATAGACAATTTTATATATATATATATATATATATATATATATATATATATATATATATATAATCGTATATTATATATAATTATGTATTATATACATATATATATATATGTATATATATATATATAATACACAATACAATACATACATGATATATATATATATATATATATATATATATATATATATAGTATATTTTCATTCTGACATGTTTCATTGAATAATATAAACATAGTGTGTCTACTTATTTTTATACTGATCCTTTCCAGTTCTCTAATCAGTTTCTTGATGTTAAGATGAAATTAATCAGTGAAGACGACTTAGTTTTTTAACCTAAGTACTTTCAACCTTTTCTCAGAGCATCCACAGGAGTACATTACAAAGACAAACTTATTGTAACTGCGATAAAATCTACATTCCGTTGTGATGGTGACTTTTAAAAACACGCGTGAATGCGCTCTGTTAAAGTTATTTTAAAATTTTTAATTTATCCTTTGTAGTTATAGAATGTTTTGCGAAACAAGCTTTTCAATCTGCCGGAGCTGACCGGTAATTGGTAAAATGGTATTATATGCTATATGCACATTAATATGTTGTTGCTATATTCGTAATAAATTTTGTTGAGTGTTGGTTGATTTTGATATAGCGCGCCACTCTATATATTTACAGTTGATCTGGCTAGAGGTAACCGTAAATTATATCTTAATAGTTTCTTCTCTCGTACTTCTCACTTGTGGATCTCCATTCCGGCTCTATGATTTCCAGCCAACTATAATCTTCAAAAAATTAAATGCAATATCAATCGCTCTCTACCGTCCACCTGATTACTCTCTTCTCTTTTTGCCCATCATTCCTAATTCTTCCACACCCTGTAACCCCTTGTATTTTAATGGCATTACTGCCATGCTTAGGTTAATTCTTATATATATATATATATATATATATATATATATATATATATATATATATATATATATGAAAGTGAACATTGAAGTCAACACTCAGTGGCGTCAGGCTGTTTTATGCTAGACGCAATCATCAGATTGCGTCTAGCATGAAAAAGATTGTCGCCTCTGAGTGTTGACTTCAATGTTTACTTTTATATTTATATTTACATACGCTCTGTCTCTGATAATGAGCACTTTCTCCCCTAAATATAGCACACCTTAAAAATACATTTCTTCATATATATATATATATATATATATATATATATACCAGAGGTGATAATTAATATGGTAAACTGGTGTATATTTAACAACTGTGACGTCATACAATATCCATCTCTACGTAAATTCCTAATTTGTATTTTTATCTTTATACATTCTCTTTGTAGACTTTTGCCTGTAAAAGAAAACTTTCTTTGTCGGCCGATGTTTAAGGTAAGACATTTGATTTGTAGATTTATTTGCACACACAAGAATAAAAGTAATTGGTAATTTTAGCTGAGTGGCTATTGACTCAAGATCAATCTCATTAACAATAGACGGCGAGACAAGACTTTTGGTGGGACTCGTTGCCGAGTATTGGGGATGCTCATCGACATTTCCTTCTGTGTGAAATGAGTCCTATGTTGGATTTGAAGAGACGTCTACAGCCACTGCATGGTAGGGTGGGAGGGTTCAGTGGATGAAGAGCTCTGACTTTTCTTTTGGGCTCTCTTCGTCTCTTCTATGTGTCTTCTGGTGTTTTCCAAAGATCTTTTCCTTTTCGTAGACTGCTCTTCTTCAATTGGTTCTTTCCCAAATTGACCGGATCGATTTCTGTCCCCAACGAGATCTCCTGTCGTATATATATATATATATATATATATATATATATATATATATATATATATCTATAATATATATATAAAAAATTATAACATAAGTATGCTATAAAATCACTACAAAAAACAGCCATTTTGTTTCAACACCTCATTTGATAATCAAGTGATGATGTTGGAAACAAAATGGCTGTTTTTGTAGTGATTTTATAGCATACTTATGTTATAAAATTTTTTTTATAGATAATAATTATATCTGCTCTACTCTGTATTGAGCACTCTTTAAAAAATAGTAATTGTTGGTTATTGGAATTCATTCCGTATATACCAATTATATACTTGTATATATATATATATATATATATATATATACTATTTACATTATTCGGACTATTGTCCTCATCTTTGTCGCCATATTTATTACAGCGTTTCGACCGTTGTACGCTACGGCCGTCTTCGGGTTTTCGGGTAGTTGTAATGTCGAACTGAACTTTATTTCGCTCACTGAGGTTGACTGTTCTATTTCCATGTGCCATGTCTAATGGATGAAAGTTATTAGTTATCTCCTGTTAATTCCCCTCTCCAAGTTCTCCACCGCCTTAGCCAGGTATTGAACTCACACTCTTTGGGTGCTGTCACTTATCCACTGTGCCATGTGTCCTTGAGGATACATATATATATACCGGGTGCAACAGTAAAATTGCCCAAATCGTGTAACAGCATTTTTTCTTTGAGTTATTAATCCACCCCACAAAATGTTTATTATCTAAAAGACTACTAAACTAATTGAGTTCCTTTTTCCAGGCTTTTAGATAATACGTTTAGCCATCTTCACACCATTTGTCAAAAGAATCGCTGAAAAATCCTTTTTGCTCAGCTAAAAAGAGAGCAGGTTAAAATCGTTTTGTGTCAGATCCACTGTCTTCCCAACTGAGCAATGGTGAGAGGAAAAGATCATTCAGGCCTTCAGTATCAGCATTCATACTCTGGCTCCCATCTTCAAATTCCATTCAAGAACCATCAAGAGAACGATGAAAAAGTTTAAAAAAGAGGAAACAGTAGAGAGAAAAATTGGATCAAATGGTCACAGCAGGAAGAGGGATTATCCTTTCAAGTTAGAGCTAAAGAGATCAATTAGAAAAGATCCAATCTTTTCCGTTTATGATTAGTAAATATAGTTTTCGCTTAATCGCTATAAATTAATACAGAATTTTAAAGATTTAAAAACTTTATAAATTCTTGAATTAAAATTATTAAAAAAATGAAAACACTTCTTGCAAAAATTCATCGGAAAAAAAGACAATAGTGCCTTAATATATCTTATTCATAAAAAACAATTAAAAGCTTTTCTAATTAAATAATGTTTTAGTTTTATTGCATTTTTTATTTTACAGTTCAGGGCAGATTTTCTGTAACTGTGTGTCCTGTTTTACAAAATGAAAAAAATCTATTTAAATTCTTCAAGGACTTGTTCTTATAACTAATATAAATATTATCCCTAAAAAAATGAGAGCGTCCTGAGTATGACGATAAACTACATTCGCGTCTCGGGTAAGACGATAAACTTTGCCCAACAGCAAGGCCTCTGTTCAGGAGGTTTTGAGAACCACCTCTTAATTGCTGATGTTCCCAGGTCCACCCTGACACGGGGTGGTTGCACCTGTTAGGGTCCCAGCTATGAGCAAATAGTTAACCCCCAAACTGGGTTCAAAACACTATGAGAGTGTAAAAACAGTTTTTAATACCAGAAATACTTTTTAAAAAAATATTACCAGCAATATATTTTTTGAAAAAAAAAAATATTACCAGCGATACATTTTGAAGAAAAAATATTACCAGAAATAGATTTTTGAAGGAAAAAAATATTACCAGAAATAGATTGACGAAAAACAAATTTTGTCGGCATTAAATAACCGAGTGAGGTTGATATGCTGTTAAACAAAATAAACCAAACAACAACAAAAAAAAAAAACTAAAAAAAAGATGTATTTCTCGAAATTAAGTAAAATTAAATAAGTGGAGGGTAACAGATGTAAAAAACATATTTTAACCAAGATTTTCTAAAAGAGAAATATTTATAAAATAATAATAATAATAATTCTAAAATAATTTAATTCAAATAAGTTCTGAAAGTTTCATTAAAATCCGATAATTATTTGATTTTTGCAAGAATTTACAAATCAATGTTTTTCAACTAAAAATTCTTATACTAATTTCCCCCACCAAATGATGCAAAAAGAAAAAAAAAACAAAAAAAAACAGAGATTTTTAACAAAAAAGTTCGAACATTCTAAAAAGGATGAAAACAAAAATAATTAAAGAAATAAAAATCTTTTGGTCTTTCCTCTTAATAAAGATTTTGACGATAAATAAATAAATAAAATCATTTCTGAAATAATTTCATTAATTTGTGAGTAGGTTTTGAAAGCTTCATTAAAATCTGACAATTATCTGATTTTTTTTTTTTAGAATTTCCAGATCAATGTGTTTTTCACCGGAAAATTTATCCCATACTAATTTATGATCACCAGTTGATGTAAGAGAAAAAACTTTAACCAAAATTTCGAATGTTTTAAAGAAGATCCAAAAATATAATTAAATAATAAGAACTCCTTTGGTCTTTTCTCTTCATAATAACATAAAGATTTTGACGTTTGTGACATTTTGTTCATTATAGTATGCTCATTTTTTCATTTTACACGCACGCACACACACACACACACACACACACACACACACACACACACACACACACACACACACACACATACATACATATACTTCCTATGTAGTGTAGGGTTCGTGTGTGTGCTTAGAGCACAAGCACACACATGAACCGAACACAACATAGAAGTATGTGTGTATATATATATATATATATATATATATATATATATATATATATATATATATATATATATATATATATATATATGGATGTATATATGTGTGTGGGGGTGTATTTATATATATATATATATATATATATATATATATATATACATACATACATATGTGTGTGTGTGGGGTATACTAATTTCTTATAATGCGACAGTATGTATGTATGGAGAGGAAATATACATGCACATACTAGCAAAAACGCATACACAAAAATGGAAATAGATCTAAGAACATACAGGAGTCATTAAGATAAGAATTCAGATATCTTTCCACATCTTTTCTCGAACCAATCTTAATTGTTTTATTACACTTGAAGCAGAAGAACTTTCATACCATCAGTCCAAGAAAGACATTTGTGTCACTACTATCCAAAAAAAGAGAATGTTTAACATCGAAAACCATAAGGGAAATTAATTCATTTTAATAATATGTGAAAATATCCATTCTTTGCCTGAAGAAGGTCGCGAGACCGGAAACCCATGTAGCGACATTATGGAAAATAAAATATAAGATATATTTTAAAAAAATAAACATTACAACCATTGTTACTATATATATTTTATTTCAGCTAGATGCTTGAGTAGAGATAAAGTATATATATATATATATATATATATATATATATATATATATATATATATATATATATTCTTTATCTCTTCTCAAGCATCTAGCTGCAAAAAGAACAGGAGATTTAACTTGTCGGATATTTAATACATTTTATAGTCTTCAGCGTTTCTCCTTCCCTTGTGTACTAAGCGAAATCTCTGTGATTAAAGTTAATCTTCTTAATGAAGTTACGTGTTTGCTGGGTTCATTAAACGTTCTTTTATAGACAACATGAATTAATCTGTTTGGTTTGATCGATTTTCAGTTATGTTTTGTTTTTTCTTGTAGGGTGATAAAGCTCTGACGAAAGACGATTTAGACCGGGTGTTTTCCTTGTATGATCGGGTAAGTATCGCCATTAGGTATCAAGTAGATAAAGATTCATGTGTCAAAGCATAAACCCTTTTAATATTCACGTGGAAAGTTTTATTACAGTGTAACCCGGATATAAGAGAGTTGTCGGGACCGGAGAAGAAGTCTCTTATATCCGGGTTTCCCTTATATCCGGGTCTCTTATATCCGGGTTACACTGTACATGAAGCCGTTTCTTCGGTTATTTTTATTTTATTTATGTACTTTTTTATTTTGGTTTTTAAATTTTATTACAAGTTTTCCTCCATTTTATTCTTGTGTTTTATCAAAGTATTATGGATCAGTATATACTCTTCACTTACTAGCATAACAATACGAAATCGGAAATAATCTTCCGTTAGTAATTGGGGAGATTGTCACAGCATTATACTGTAGGAAATTTTGTTATCCAAGTTTTTTTTTATATTAAAAATACGAACGCTCGAATTCCAAACAATGATAAACATAAAAAGAAAGATGTGTTTGCCAGTTGAATGAATCATTTGAATTAAACATGTACATGAATTCAAATGTATCAAAAAGGTGTAAAAAATAGTCTTTAATTGAGTTAAAGTCTTTGAAAAATTTGCGGTTGAGAAAAAAAATTTAGCACACGGTTCATAGTAAAATTTAAAAAAAAGCTGTAGTTGAGAATAGGATTTTAAATAGTTGGTCCACAGGAGAAAAAAAATCTGCGGTTGAGAAAATACTTTTATCGCTAGCAGAAATTCACTGCCTGCCTTTGTTGTTGTTTTTTGGAGATGATTCGTTTGATGTCGCCGACTGGCTGACCATGCTGCTGTCGGAGATAATTCGTTTGAAGTCACCGGCTGACCGGCCATGCTGATGTTGAAGATGATTCGTTTGAAGTCGCCGACTGGCTGGCCATGTTGATGTTGAAAATGATTCGTTTGAAGTTGGCGACTGGCCGAACAAGCTGTTGTTTGAGAAGATTCGTTTGAAGTCGCCGACTGACCGGCCATGCTGATGTTGAAGATGATTCGTTTGAAGTTGGCGACTGGCCGACCAAGCTGTTGTTTGAGAAGATTCGTTTGAAGTCGCCGACTGACCGGCCATGCTGATGTTGAAGATGATTCGTTTGAAGTCGTCGAATGGTCGACCAAGCTTTTGTTTGAGAAGATTCGTTTGAAGTCGCCGACTGGCAGGCCATGCTGTTGTTTGAGATTGAAGTCACCGACATATGTTTCTTTCAGCACGTGCTGGATTGTGGCAGGTAGAAAAAAAAACAAAAACAAAAAAAAACACGTCTTCTCTTCTATTCGGCTTGGGAACTGCCGCATCTCTACTCTTTGAAAGTTGAAATCTGTGGGAAACCCGATAGTAGGCTCGATTGTAGGCTCAAGAAAAATAGGGTTTTTAGTTTTCTCTGATTGGTCAAATATCGATAGAAGGCTCGAGAAAAATAAGGTTTTTAGTTTTCTCTGATTGGTCAAATATCGATAGTAGGCTCGAGAAAAATAGGGTTTTTAGTTTTCTCTGATTGGTCAAATATTTCACATGATGATGCTAATTTCTAACCCATAGACACTTTGATTTAAACGTTGTGTGTTGTGGAATCTTTTTGGGATGTTTGTAATATTGTCTGTTATTGGGTAGAAAATAAAGTTTGGGTGTGTTTTAATATATGTATGTAAATATATAAATGTATTATAAATAGGATTTATTTCCTCTATTACCACTATGGTGTTTTTAAACACTCCATTTAAAATATTTTTTTATATATCATTTAGTTCTTAATTTTTCTTTAATTTTGTCTTAAGTGATCTTTTTGGTTTTTACAGGAGGAATTAAAATAAAAAAGCGAATTTTTTTTATTATGAAAAATCGAATGTTAATATGAAAAATGAATTTGTAAGTTCCAAAAGTTAAAATATGCAAAAAATAGGTTTTGTTTCATCTTCATTGTGATCTTTTAAAACAATTTGCTGTAATCTAGAAAGGGTTACTGAATGAGGAATAACCAAAACGGGGGTTGGAAATGAAATGGTAATTTTTATAACATCAACAAAATACAATACTCGCCAGCGCCGTGAAGTAGGTAAACCACTTCCAGTAGTAGACTACTTAGACAGCATACTACGGTGTTTATTCGTTCACCCACGAGGACGAGATGTGACCCAAGGTCTTTTTAAAGTGGGGACCCGAGCGTGTACACCCGGGCAAGAGACAAAACTTTCCCACAGCCCCCGCAACCGATCCCTCCCTCTGGTGCAATGGGCGGGTGAGGCCTCGGGCAGCTGTTCCCCAGGGCTGGGCACCTCTCAGTATGATTTTCTCAGTTGCCCCTCTGTCTTTTGACAGAGAAGCCCTTGAACGCACTCTTCCCAAAGACAGAGACGCAACTGAGAGATGATAAATAATGCGTTACAAATTACTTTATAGTAATTTATAGACAGTATATTACCCCCCACTTACAATAGTATCCAACGTATTTATAAGGATCAGGACATGCTCATTAGTGTTCATAGGTACGGTATATAACATAGTTTATGATCGCCTTGTCTCCTCTTGAACTGTTATTTTGCATTCCAATCAATGAACATGCAGATCGCATTAACACGTTATTCTGCATTATTGATAAACCCTTCGCCAGTGTTTTGAGTTGGAGGGTGTCCTTAAGTCAACAGGCTATCAGATTCAAGAGGCTGTCGAAATCTGTTTCATGTCAAAACCTGAAAAAAATACCCAAAAGGTATTGAAGAAATGTCTGTTAAATAACAATGAGTCATTGCAAATGATGGTGAATATAATTTTACTTTATTTTGTGAAGAATAAAGTTGGTAAAAATAATTGGAAATATTTATAATTCAACATAATAAGATAAATATTTCTAACTGAGCCTCTGTTGTGAGATATTGACACAGTATGAGTACCATGGAGTTTTTAAAAAAAAAAAACACTTAAAATGTTATAAGCATAAGATTTAATATGTTGAGTTTTTGTTTTATCTGAATGTCGGGATTCCAAACATTTAACAAAAACAACAACACATCTTTTAAATGAAACATAAAAAAGGTTATTTTCTGAAGGAAAAGTACAAGCAGAACGTCAGTTGAAACAACATTTATATATTCTTTTCAGAAATATACAATAACAATAAAATGTTCCATTTCCCTTGCTGTGAAGTTTGTTTTATCAAGTAATTAGATTTTCTTACTGTGATTTGAAATGTGTGAAAAGACTAACTTTATGATGGTCAACCTAATGATTCTGTCAGTGCATGGACAAGGCCTTAGTCGGTGGGGACTGGCTGTTAATCCCTTTCATTATGTGCGTGTAGATCAAACTGGCTTCTGAAATTTTTTTGAACCCCGAGAAGCAGTATGCTTCCATTTTTATATCCGTAAGGGAGATCCAAAATCTAATTTCACATAGAGGGGTGGAACTTTTGAATACAAGGTTTTCTATGAGTTAGAAAATAATTTCACACTGGCTCGCGAAAATCTTTTTTCCTGAATTTGCAGGAGTGGTGAATGGAGTTATTGTTATTTTCTAAATGGTTTTAAAATAACACGTAGTAAGTTTACAACTACGTCCGTAAGTATTTGTTGTTTATCAAACAAACCTTCTGATGAGATTTAATTGGTTTAAAAATATAATTCCTATAATTGTTTACCGTATATTTTTACGTATAAGGCGACCTATAAGTTAAACGAAACCCAAAATCCAGATAAATTTTCGTGATTTTATCTGATATCCGTACTATAAGACGATCATCTAGGACTCATGTGACGAAACTGTAAATGACGATGTTTATGATGAGCTCTTTGCATCAGATGGTGATGATCATAGTAATTTTGAAGGGTTTTAATTATGTATATGCATTTTTTTTTGTTCTGTAATGAGAAATAAAAAATGTATGGTATCTTATGTTTTGTTGCTTAACACCGCAAAGAACAAATATACTGTATAATGTATGTTAATGAAAAATAAAGTATGAATTTTATGCTAAAAGTTGTTGTTATTTGATAGCATAATGATAATGAATTTTAATTAGAAATATAGATTATATGTCATTCTAAATGTTGTATTTTAACATGTACTTCATTGCAATTAGATCTTTTTCTGATTCATTCTGCATGCTGACCGGATGTGAACGCTATGAAGGCAGAAAACGAAATAAGAATTCGTTTTCTGCGCATTAGGCTCACGTCCGGTCTACGAAGTGAGTTCCGACAGTGGCCAATTGCAAACGTTCTTGCCAAGAAAAGAGATGCCCCTGGGGATTACTTTTAAGTAGGTCTCTGAGAACGATCAAACAGAGTTCCGGCGCGGCGGACCACCGGCCGGCCACCGACGGGCCACCGGCGGTCACGCAGAGCGCTGCTGCCGCCGGCGCCATAACAACCACCGCCGTCTCTCAACATGACCGCTCCTCTCAACAAGCGTTATCACTCCCAGGTCTGACGAACCACCTCGGCTATCCAGCTTTGACTTGATATCTCATCTTCGATTCCACCTATCTACAAGCCCTCATCGTCGACGACGCTGTCACCTCGGCAAATACCGACAAGATAACTTCGACACCACCCAGCTACAAGCCCTCATCGTGGACGACGCTGTCACCTCGACAAATACCGACAAGATAACATCTCAACTTCGACATCACTCAGATACAAGCCTTTATCGTCGACGACGTTGTCACCTCGGTAAATACCAACCACGCCAATCCGACAACATCTCGGCGCTCGGGCAACCCACCGCCGTCACCACGGCCGACTTGACTCGTTTACAAGTCATTCTCTTCGCTCGCCACCGCGGCCCCGTTCACCAAAACAAGCCTAGCAACCACGCCAACCCAACAACACCTCGTCGCTTGGGCAACCCACTGCCGTTACTTCGGCCTACTTGACTCGTTAACAAGGTATTCCATTCGCAGTCGCCACCGCGGCCCCTTCAACAGAACAGGCCTACAAAACCTCACCAGTCCGACGTCAACCTCGTTCCATAGAACGCCTACCAACCAACGAAAACGACATACCACTGTGATCTCAATCAACCAAACGGGCACCTACCATGTCCTGTGACCTCAGCCAGGCCAGCACAAGAAATAGGTTAATATCCAGCGTTTTCCTTACACCCGACCGCCATCCTGACGATCGCCCACTGAAACGGACATTCCACCCATTTTTCAACATCTCTGTACGACACTAACAATAAACGTTGTTCAAAATCTGACCCTCTTTCTTCTTTTCTTTCGCTATCAAACGATTTATATAACAAACACTACTATGAGAAATGATGCTTGGGGTGAATACACCCATAGCTCTACAAATTAAGAACGAAAGATTTGTTTACGTTACTTGTTAGCGGAACTTTTGCAAATTGTTGTGTAATCGTCTCTTGAATATTGCATTTTAATGTGAAACCAAAAAATAAAAATAATTTTATTACGTTTATAACTGCAGTACAGCATTATAATGTGAATTGTTTCAACTCGAAATATTTATATCGGTAGTTACAATACCGAGGCAGTTGTTAGCCCACAGCGATCCACAGCGCAAGCATACGGGCTAGTATGCTTGCGCCATAGATTGTTGTGGCCTAACAACTGCTTACCAGGGCTGATAAACCACATGATTTAAGGTTAGCTTTTGTAACTGTTGTATTAAACGACCCACTAAATCTTTTTTAACTGTTGTATTAAACGACCCACTAAATCTCTTTTAACTGTTGTATTAAACGACACACTAAATCTTTTTGTAACTGTTGTATTAGACGACCCACTAAATCTTTTTGTAACTTGTATTAGACGACCCTCTAGATCTTTAAATCTTAAAAAATACTTTAAAGATCGCCTTATACGCGGAAATATACGGTGATTTTCGTGTTATATACTGAGTGTCATTTCTGCTTTATTTTTTTAAAGGATAAAAAAAGAAAAAGGTTTTAGTTTTAAAAATCGACTTAAATGGTTAATCTTAAATGGTTAATATTAAAAAGTGAATTTTTAATCCGACTCCTCTTCAACTGATTTTTTCTCCACGTACCAAGCGATGAAGATTACTGTGATCTTTGTATACGATGTTACAACAATTACTATTTACAGTGACGGAACTGGAAATCATATAAATATCATGACTAAAGCCAGAACTCCTTGTAGCTGTTCGACAGAAGTGTCCAGAAAGCTACTTGACCAATCAAGAAAATCAGGCTTACCACTTTCTAAATATTAAGCCACCTTGCCGACTGAAGCGTCGGAATACGCCGACTTCACCTCTGCAGAGGGGGATGACCCACCTTCACATGAGGCATCCTTGGTAAGACGATAAACTATATCTGACAGCAAGACCTCTGATCATGTTTTGAGGAGTGTGAAACCACCTCTTAATTGCTGGTGTTCCCCGGTCCAACCTGACCCGGGGGATAGCACCTGTTAGGGTCCCAGCTATGGGTAAAATAGTTGACCCCAAACAAGGGTCAAAACACTATGAAAGTGTAAGAATAGATTTTAATACCATCAATACATTTTTGTAAAAAAAACTATTACCAGTAATGAATTTTTGAAGGAAAAAATATTAGCAGCAATACATTTAGGAAAAATATATTACCAGCAATAAAAATCTTGTCGACATTAAATAACCCATTTAGGTGTTGATATGCTGTAAAACAAATCAAACCAAACCTAAATATTAAGGAAAAACATTTAGTGCGGTGTTTAAACATCTCACATTAGTAATGGGGCGTTAAAAAATAAGCTGACATTAGCTTGATAGTTGTGGAGAGCCATGATTGCCCTGAGCTTTGTGGCACATAGAAGAATTCCTTCTTCGAGAATGACTATCAATTAAAGTTAGTGAGCATACATTACTAGCTATTTAAGTGTGAAAGTGAACAGTCTATGCTGGGATTAGAACCCTGCTTCTCTATTCCATTTTTCGTATCTATAACCCTTTCAGTACTATCATATACACTGCAGAGAAAATATCTAAAGATAATTGTAAAGTTTTAATGATTTCTGTGGTAACAAAATAAGTACATGCCATTTTCCCTCTCACTTGTAACCATACATCGCAATAAAATAAAGTTATTTCTTCAGCACTAAAGCTGAATTGGTCAAATAAAGCTTCATAAGCTTCTATTTACAATTATAAATACTCTTAAATATTTGTTGTTTTAGGTTAGAGAGGGTTTTAGCCCTCAGATATGAACAAAATCATGCAGCAATTATGTTTTATTTAATTTTGTTGGCCTCAAAAATTGAATGAGAGATAGCGTTGAAACTGTTATTGTAATAGCTGCCTATATTTCTGAGATGAAGTATTGTAATTATTTGCACCATTTACATTGTTTGGACTGTTGTCCTCTTCTTTATTGCCGTATTCACTAAGTTTCGGTCGTTGTAGGCTCCAGCATTCTTCAGAATCTGTCTAGATTTCTGAAATGAGGTATTGTAACTATTTACACTATTTACATCGTTCGGAGAGCATCTAATGGTTAGCAAGCTTGTCTCGCTAGAATAATTACGACTGAGTAGTGAGTTCGATCCTCACTGGGTGCCCCCTACTTTCGGCATTGTGCCACATCTAAGCTACGCTTGGAAAATCACTATTTACATCGCCCGGACTGTTGTCCTCATCTTTATTTTCGGCCGTCCTACGCTCCAGCCTTCTTCAGGATATGTCTGTATTTCTGAGATGAGATATTGTAATTATGTACACTATTTACATGTATAGACTGTTGTCCTCATCTTTATTGCCATATTCACTACGTTTCAGCCGTTGTACGCTCCAGCCTTGTTCAGGATCTGTCTGTATTTCTGAGATGAGGCATTGTAACTATTTACACAATTTACATCGTTCGGACTGTTGCCCTCATCTTTATTGACATATTGAAGACGTTTCGGCTGTATATACAAATATATATATAGATTTCAGCGTATATCACCTGAAGAAGTCCGGAGCGTACAACGGTCGAAACGTCGTGAATATGTCAATAAAAACAATCCGAACAATGTAAATAGTGTCAATTTTGTGAGGTGTTTAAACATCCCACAGTACTAACGGGACTTTAAAAAATAAGCCGTCTTCAACTTATAACCTTCGTCTCGAAAGTCAGTTATTTTCTCATCGTTGCTTTAAACCTTTTCGAGGATTAATCAATGAAGAATCCCGAACCATTCCGCCATTTCTTTATTCTTGATTCTATCATTTTCGTTTATGATCGATTTCATTACGATTCTTCTGTTAAGCTTGGGGTGTAATATACTTATTGCCCAAATTAGAGTCCAATAGTGTTATAAAAACTTCGGAGAATTCCAGTATGATATCTTTAATCATTTCTACCGAACCTATGTTTGCCTATCTATAAATTTATTGTCATTTTTATCTCATAATATTAATAAGCGACATTGATTATCCCAAGATGATATAGCATCAGATTAAGCAATCTGATATAAGCGTTTTGCTATTCTTAGTGAAATGCTTATTTTACAGAATTAAAGTTGTATCGAGATATAATATTTGGCTAAAATATAGCAATAATAAGATGGATAATTATAGTAATAATGAAGAGTATATCGACCCAGAGGGCTGGGATAAAATACGACAATAAGTTAGAGCGGAACTCTTAATAGAAATACAAGAAATGATTGAGAAGGTATCGACCTAAATTGTTGTGATAAAAAGCAACAATAATAAAAAAAGAAAAAAGAAGAAAAGAATAACAATAATGAAGAGTGTATCGACCCGTAGGGTAGTGACAAAAAACAAGCATAATAAGATGGAGTAAATAATAAAATAACAGAAAATATGCTTAATCTAAAAATTGAAAATAACGATTACTTTTTGAGGATTGCAGGTTTATCTTGTGTTAAAATTGTATTTATTTGTTTTAGGATAAGAATGGCACAATTGAAAATGAAGAACTCCATGGCTTCTTGAAAGATCTTATGGAACTTATCGAAGAGGTAAGGCAACCGTTTACTTTTGTATTCACTTCATATCATTATAATTTTATCCTGCACCAGTTTCCCAAAATGGGGGTAATTGTGTTTACTCACAAAATTAGCAAGGCATTTCGATTTACTCAAGTTAGTTTATACGTTGTTTCCCCTGCGTCTCTTGTCTTCACTCTGGCCTCTGAGTATCAAATTTTCCAATCTCTCTTTTCTCTTTATGCATCCTAGAAACTTCAGTTGACGCTTTCTGGTGTTAAGTATAAGTGTGCTTTTTCTTTCAATTTTCCTTAAAACTTCGTCGTTGTTCATATGTTCGGTTTATGGTATTCTCATCATCCTTCTGTAGAACTACATTTCTGTCGCTTCAAGTCTCTTCTTCATCTGTGAGGCAATTGTCCAGCATTCACTGCTTTATAGGGGGACAGATATTAAATAACAGTTCAGAACTCCTTTCTTTGTTTCTGTTGCTTTAAGTCTCCTCTTCACCTGTGAGACAATTGTCTACCATTCACTGCTTTATAGGGGGACAGATATTAAATAATAGTTCTCTTTTCTTTGTTTCTAACGAAAATTCATGTTTCTTAATATTTCTAACGTCTCCGACTGAACTTTGAAATTACATTTACTAATTATTTTTTCTTCACTGCCAATAGGTGTACATATGTTGGCCTATTGCCCGGTTCACACTCCTTCCATGTCTTTTGAACAGGTGTAGAGGTGTGACGTCGCTCCGGCCTCTCTCTGCCCCCGTCTATCCTGTGACGACCAATGTGACTTGGTATTGGTTGCGGCGCCAAATGTGACGTTCTAACCCTTTGCTGATTCGGATGGGAATCTGGTTAGATTCGATATCAGCTTTGTCGTCCCCAACTCGCCTCCAACGTCTGGTTACCGAAGTAACTGCTTTGATTTTTAGTCTAACCTACCCACGTTGTGATTTGATCTTAGGTAGACGAAATCAATCAGTCGCCGGGCCGTAATGCAAGCCGAATTCGAGCAAAGGTGACATCGCACAAGTATATGTAAAAGAAAATAAAGTAACAACTCGAAAGGTTCAAATGTGTTAAAAAAAGAATAACAAATATTTTTATATCTGGTTGCTGAATACAGGACTGCGTCTTTCTCTCAACCCGCTTCTATGGATACGTGACACTTTGCGTTTGTTAGGCGAGTCTTAATATCTTAAGTTGTTTCTCAATAACTGTTTTTTTGGTGTCTTCAGGCGATATTCGTAAGACTTGTTTTGGTGGTGTGAGTCTAAATCGTTCTTCAAAAATAAATTGTTTTTAGTTAGAAGTCTAAGTCGGAATGCGTGGATATCTTTGTCAGGTACCTGCGAGGTCACAGCTCAACTCTGCTCTGTCACTCTGCGTCTCTCCGCGTCTGCGTCTCTCCGCGTCTGCGTCTCTCTAACTGCCACCGTCTACTCCGTTTATATGGACGCCGACGAAAACCGGGTGTGGGCCTGTCGTGTTTGGGTTCCTCGATAATTCCAAATCCACAATAAGGATTTTCTTTGTTTTCGGACAGGAAAATTTATCACTTTCCATTTTTGGAAGTCCATTACTTTCTGCTTTAGAGGGGTTCTTAACGGAATCGTCCTCCCAAATTCTTCCTTTCTTATATTGGTATCTCACACCAATCCCCTCAGGGGGCGTCAACAGGTTTCCCTTCTTTCTCATAGTGGTATCTCACACCAATCCCCTCAGAGGCGTCAACAGGCCTCCCCTCCTCCTCATATGTTTACCTTCGCCCACCGCTCACACCACCACTCAGCCAATGAACGCTCGGCAGCGTGGGCGCAGCCAGTCTGGCCTCAGCTTACAATTATCGCTCAAAGAAAAAAAAATTATCTTCCTTTTTTCTTTTCTTTCTTTTCTTCGACCCCTACGTAGTGTGGTCCTTAATCTCTGTCTTAACTGAATGTCATCTGGAATTTATCAACGAGATATTCGCCAAGCGTTAAGTGGGTGGTCAACCGAACGTCTTCGCACCCTGTCGCCAATTATCTGTCCCGGCAACAAACTTTTATCATGTCCAGGTCTGGACATGAAACAGGTGTCTCTCCCCAAAACCAAATTATATCTCCGAAAGATAGTTAATGGTTTATTCTTTCCCTTTTTCCCTTTTCCCTTCCTTTTTCTTTGGGGTGGTCTCAGTTGATCTTTTTTCTCGGTCGATCCTCGACCTGATTACGATTATCTTCCAGCATTTCGCCCTGCGAGCCAGTTGATCAATTTGAAATTTTCATTATTGCCATGGGCTGATTGCTATCTTTTATTCGCCCCGTCATAGCATAAATTAATTCCGACAGATCCGAGATCTTACGAATTTCCTATCTTTCGCAAATGAAAATAAAATCTTTACCACTTTTCTTTGTTAAAAAAAAAATAATAATATAGCTCAGTATGTCCTTCGTGATAGCTTCTTCTCGCCTTAAGTATTTCTGGCTTTTAATTTTCATGCAACCGCTAAATAGTGTCACAGAGGTTTATCTCGTGTTTCTTGTTTAGGATTGTTTTCGGTTCTTTCTAAAGGCTGTTCATTTGTTTTCGCAATTGCAATAATCTTGACTTCTTTAAGTCAAGAGTTAGCCATTATCTTTCCTGCATAGCCTCAAGAACGTTACTTCTTGCCCACAACACACAGTAACCCTCTACCTTCAATGGCTCTTGAGCCTTGTATTGGGTGAACATTAGTAAAAAAAATACCTTTACTTAGCTTTTGGAAGGCATCTTTCTCTATCTCAATGTGCCTTCAGACTTCAGTCTCACACTTTCTACCTTCTGAAAAAAACACGTGTTGTACTTATTTGATTTTGGTATCTACAATTTGTAATTTGCATGTTGGGCTGTTTCATGGCATTCTGATCAGCCTTCTGTAGAAGCACACTTCTGTTTCTATTGTTTCAAGTCTAATCTTCAGCTGTGAGATGATTGCATCCTACAAACTATAAATTCTCATGCATATAAACAAACACAACTAAGATTAGGTGCTACTTTGCCTTTTTATCTACAAGGAAAAATATCTACACTACAAATTTTAATTTGGAATGATATCTACATAGTAAAATTTTGTGATTCAACGAACACACATCGCCACTTTTGTAATACCAACGAATACTCGTTGTCACATTCGTAAAGTAGAGACTTTGTAATCGCAGATACAACTATAGTAACGCCGTTGAACAATACTAGTGTCAGACGCCTTTGAATAACACTCGCACTATTAGTACTTGCTCGATAATACTCGCTCGAATAGTAATCCGTATAGTGATCTAAATAGAGGAATATTATAGTGAATAGAGTAGAGAATAGCGGTCCATATAGTAATAGAGGATAGACTAGAAATGACGATCGTTAGTCGTCACGCGACTTCCTTCTTATGCATTTCTCCTATGGTCACGTGGTCTACTAAATTCAATAATGGGATCGCCTGTGTTTGCTCACTGGCGATCTATGTTCAAACTTAAGTGTCGGCAGCGAGACGTTATTCTTATATAACATATATATAAAACATATTATAACATATATATATATATATATATAACAAAGGAAATGCAATTAAAATATTAATGTTTCTTTTATTTATATTCTAGCTATAAACAACACGTACATCGGCTAAAATATCTACACCATACAAATTTTAATTTGGAATGATATCTACATAGTAAAACATAACAACATATATATATATATATATATATATATATATATATATATATATAACTTCGAGAAAATGTACTTAAAATATTAAAAGAATTTCTACTAGGAATATTCTAGCAATAAACAACACATAGATCGGCTAAAATGCTAAATAACTTTTACTTGTTGTAAGTCACAATAAAGTGTCAGTCGCATACCAAAGTAAATATTTAATACGTAGATAACAAGCCAAAGCAACACCGAAGATTATATATAAATCTTCTTTTTATTATTTTTTGTAATCCGTCACAGGTACATAATACAAGAACAGAAAGACTTCAATGTAAAATAATAAAGTATTTAATTACCAAACGCAATTAAAATACATTAACAACAAAGTAAAGAGTCAGCAGAAAGATTATTGATTATTTATCAGTCAATACACGACTGCGTAGAGCTGCTATGAAAAGTACTAATTCGTCTTGAAACGCGTGACACTCGACTTTAACTTCCGGGTTAACACAATAGTCAAACACGTAATTGTAACCGGTATTTACTAACCTCCTCACAAGGTAGAATGTGGCACAAGGCCGATTTTTAAGTGGGGTGAATCCGAGCCATGGTACTCGGAGATTTGGCCCACGGAGATTTGGCCTACGGACATTTAACCGAATTGACATTTTGCTGAAAATGTAGTGGCGTATGTCACACTCTTTATCGTAATGTGCTATATATATTTATTGTATTAATTTATAATTTTTTGTTTTTTTGTTTCTTTTTGTTTTTTGACAGGCTTTTTTAAAAATCTATTCTGCATATATTATATTTTACTTCATATATTACTGTAAGATGATAAGTATTTTGAGAAAAAGCACATTTTCCTATAGTAAAAATCTTTAGCTTTTACGAAATGAAAGTTCTCTCAATTTCACTTTTAATGATCATTATCTTAAAGGAATGAATTAACGTTTATCTTACTGTTAAATGAGAATTTAAATAATTAGGTGCTACTTTTTACCCAAATACACTCAAATATTTTTAAAAATACTAATTTCACTAAACAAATATTGAAATAAAAAAACTTTTAACTTTAAATTTAGATTTAGTAATTTAATCACTTGAAATTAAGTAGTAATTATTAGTCCTATTCTACATTATAATACTGCTAATTAAATTACTTAAAATATTGCTTGTTACTATTTTTACTTGTACTTTTTCGGTGAAATGTCTGTAGGCCACGGAGAGACGAACGACGGACTCGACTCTAACTCTACTGGTAGACAGTGTCCGTTATATTAAACTTAAATCAGATAAGCTGATTTTTTTAGATTGGTCCTGATTGGTTATAAAGATAAGAAACTGGATCAACTTAACCGGATTTTGTCGGCTGAATCCTTTGAAGTCTGAATTAGCATCTTTTAGTTCCAAAGAAGCTTTTCTTATTTGCTCCAAAATAATAGTTTATTAGATTTGAGATTTAGTCTTGCTTCAAGTGACTACTACTGATTTTCTTTTATTGTAATTCCAGGATTACAATACAGAAGACATTGAAGACTCCAAGAAAGTACTTCTGGAACAGTGTGATCTGAACAGGGACGGCAAGATCAACAAAAATGAGCTTACTATGTTACTGATGTCCTACGATCAAGTTCGTTTGACCACCACGGACCCATTAAAGTGAATACATGCAAAACAATGACAAGCATTATATCCTTGCATGTTACATTGGGCTTAAAACAGCAAACCTTTAGCATGCATCATAATAGAACCTCCATATATACTTTCCATGTTACTTATTTTTAATGCACACACATAAAACGATTTAGAATGTACAGTGTTAGAAAAGAAGAAAAAAAATGATTACGTTGCAAATAAATATATCAGTAATAACTATGTCATGTATATATGTTGGATATTCATCGCTATAAATAATTTAGTAGCAATCACAAAGTAGAATTTACACGTGTTGTTGGTGTCTTTGCAGTTACATTACCAGTGCACGAAAAATACGAAACTATCACGCTTTCTTTTTTTTCCCGCTCAGTCTCCTAATTCTCCGTTTCTTTATCTTGTTTGCTGGTAGTTTAAGAATTCTTCTGAATTCTGCCTCATGAAAATTTCTTTATTTTTATCGTTTATTTTACGAATAATATTCGATTAAGTTATTTATCGTCCTTTTTTTTCCATTTTTTTTTATGATTAACATTTATCACTGTATGTAATTACATTTCCTGCGGAAAAAAAGTTTATCCTGCCACTGAAGGTGACTTGGATACCTGAATTTCAATAGTTGTGTTGTCATATCCCGCTATGGCAACAGAAAACACCTTTGAGTGAAATTACCAATAAGGTTACTGCAATTGAGAGACCTTGAAAAAGAATGCAATGGAAAGAGAAGTAAAGCTAATAATGTAGAGTGTTGCTGATTATTTCTCATTTCAAAATGTCGCCTGTTTCGTTGGGAAAAAATAAAATAAAATGAAAGACAAAATGTAAAAGAAAATGTCTGAAAACAAATAAAAACTAAATTTAATCATTTCAGTACACTATTTACATTGTTCGGACTATTGTCCTCATTTTTATTGACGTTTTTATTCATAGACGTTTCGGCCGTTGTACGCACCAGCATTCTTCATAACCTGTCTATATTTCTGAGACGAGGTATTGTAACTATTTACATTGTTCGGACAGTTGTCTTCGTCTTTATTGTCACATTCACGACGTTTCGACCATCTTACGCTCCAGCTTCTTCGGGTGATATACGTTGGAATTTCGGACCGAAACCTTTATTTAGTCCACTGGGGTAGACTGTTCTAGTTCCACGTGCATAACTTTTCTGAGTATCTAAATTTCAGTTATTTCCCTTTAGTAACTCAACTCTTCAAATTTTTGTTCACCTCTGCTGTGGCCAGGTATTGAACTCACAACTCTTTGGGTCAAGTCACTGGATTAGCAACGATTTATCCACTGGGTAGTGGATAAAAGATCCATTTTTATCCCAAGGACACAATGCCAGGTGGATAAAAGCAACGTATATCACGTTCAGTTATATTTCCAGTTCTGACCCTTAGTTGCACCATGAGTAAGCCTGTAGTATAAAACGCTATGGTTGAACAAGGCACACCAGTCTAGATAGCTTATGTCCGATGACTTCACTCGCAAAACGTAAATATATCTTGGACACATCATATTGCGTTAAAAGGCAATGGACAGCGAAGTTAACATTAGCAGAATAGCTACAAAAACACAGTTATTAAATCTACTGGATAGTAATGAAGCTTGTCATAACACCAGCGGGTGCACTCGGCGTTTACGTTATAGATAGATAGATAGATAGATAGATAGATAGATAGATAGATCCAGTTCACACTCTACCCCGGTATTTTGAACAGGAGTAAAGGTTTATCCCTTGTTCTCTGTTTAGGATTGGGTTTCCAGGTCCTTCTAAATTCTTTTCATTCTCTTTCACTCCTAGCAGACACTTACAAATACAAATATGTTTCGGCTTTAAATAATCCACAAACGTTGATAAGCCGTAAAAAAAACAACAAATCATTCAATCCATAATTATAAGGAGAGAGTGTTCGGTTTAAATATCACGTATATTGAGTTTTTATAGATATAGGAATCAACACTTCATGGTGATTGTCATTTCCACGCCTCACTGCGATCTTCCGACCAAGAAGATGACATTGAATCCTTAAACTGACAATCATCATGCAGTGTTGATTCAGATGTTCCCAATGTCTCTCTCTTCCGATTCCTCTCTCTCTTTCTATCTATCTATCTTTCTGTATGTGTGTGTGTGTGTGTGTGAATATGTACATATATATATATATATATATATGGAGAGAGAAAGAATGAGTATCAGTAAAAGGCTTGTCACTTAGCTGATTGATGTTACCTTCAGCATCCCTACGCCAGAGTTTGATAGACGGACCCGTCCTTCTACTCGTCAGGGGTTTTCAGAAATTGACTGCTTATACGTGACGATTTTTTCCTTTTATATACACTTATCATTGGTACAAGTTTTTTTTTACTCATAGTGTGTGTGCATGTGTACGTTACACACACACACACACACACACACACACACACACACACACACACACACACACACACACATATATATATATATATATAATAAAGACAAAAGGAATATTTTTTCTTTACCAACGCGTTTCGTCCTCTGATGGACTTTATCACGGTAAAGAGGACGAAACGCGTTTAAAGAAAAAGATTTTTTATCTGTAGATCTTATTAGCCACAGTAAAATATGATCAAAAATAACTAAAAATACAATAGAACAATTATAATAATATATTAGGATAAAAGTTATATGATAGATAGAAGATTCTATCTTACTGTAGATCTTAGTAACCTATCTTTTGTGTTGTTTTTATTATTATTATTATTGAGAACTTTTCACTAAACTATCAGTGCCATGCATGATAAACGCTTAGGCGATCATATATCATTCAATGCATGAATGACGAGGCAGATTTTTTTTTCCGCAGGAGGCTGCCATTTCTTTCTGTGGTAGACCAGATGCCATCCAAGTCTATAGAACCCAATTTGTCCTGTAGGGAGGGAGAAGAAGAAGATTTATACTTTTCCCAAGGGTATTAGCACTTAAGTGAATGTAATGTAATGTAACTCGACTCTCCGATTCGTCAATCCGAGCCGCTATCCATTATTCCACTGTAATGGCTTCATTTTGTCAATATCCGATTTTTCACCATCACATCTCGTGTTCTTTGGAGCCATTATGAATTAAACTTATGAATTGGTTCTGACGTTAACTGAAACCGAGGCTAAGGAAGAAGCATTGGAATATTCTTTGACAGGTTTTTCTTTTCTAAAATGATTGTTAGGAGAGCAGGAGCACCATTTAGATTTCCTTTTAAAATTCAAAGACCTAAAAACAATCTACACAAACCTTTTTCGTTAAACAGAAAAGCACACTTTTACACGTGCACAAAAAAATGCATGCGATTATCTCCCCTTGTTCACGCCATGAAAATGGATGACGACTTCTTATGCTTATTGGTTTTGTTTCTTGTTTTCTTACAGATTTTTCTAGGGACTTGAAAATGAGCAATAATTTAACAACACAGACACTGAAACAGAAACACCTTTTTAAAAACGCCTTATATTTGAGGAAGTTGTTTAGTAGAAAGCTGAGATTTCAGTAGGCTTTTCCAAATTCGTTGTGGAAACGGACGTCATTTCTGCGTGTTCATTTTAGTTATCAGATAATTTTATTTTCTAGCATTTGGTTTAGCAATTTAAGAAGTTTGACGTTGTGGCTATTATTTTGAGCAGATTGTTTAGTGGATAGGTTCATTTTTCACTTTCTTTAGAAAAATCAGCATTGCACTCCATTTGAAAGCCGAAGTTTGATGTGAAAAATACCGATACAAATAATTAGATTCATAGCTTTTAACACCTTTTCAGGATTTAGTATCATCTGAAAATATGTACAGAAATACCTAATTTCCGTATGTTTTTGCTTACAAACTGACTTCAAAATGTTACTATTTCTAGAATAAACCGAAATAAAATTGATATTTTTTATATGATACAGTGAATAGAAAATATATTCAAACCAGAATTCTGATTATAAATTACCTCAAGCGAACTAAGTAATTTTTTTACTGTATTCGATAAGTAAAAAGAGTGTTAAAAATTGTAAAAAGGTTACAAAAAAAAACGAATAAGATTTGTTAGATCATAATTAATAAAAACAAAAAAAATAGTTAAGTGTACATAACACCATAATACTGCTGGGTACAAATTATAAGACAAAATTTTAAATTTACATCGTTTATTGGAAATCTCACCAAAACTACTGCATTGTATAAGTTACACCATAATATAGCTAAATTGTTCAGTATAATTTCCCTTTGAAGTAAATGAACGTCTTATTTGATCGTACAATGATTTAGTAATAATATGTTTGTTTCCTTGCTTCTTGTCTATAAACAAATAAAGCTTTGTAGAGGACCGTGGTTGTTGCGTGTTGTATTAGAAACATGTGTGTAACGCCTGGTAGAATATTAAAAGGTCCAACTACAAGAAAATGGCCGGACTTGAATTAAGTCCAACTGAAGATAAAGAAGAATTACATGACCGATATATATATATATATATATATAAACAAATATATGTATTAAACAGAACAATTTTACAATGGACGTAGACAATAATATTTGTTTGTGTATGAAAGTTTGTGTTTGTTCTTTGATGAATGGTCGTATTTTGGTGAATGTTCGTACGTACGTGTATGTGTGTGTGTATAATGTTCACAGCGTCTCCCACAAATGGGAAGACGCAGATCTTCTAAGAGAGCTTACATTGTAGTCCCTGAAATGAAGAAATAAAAAAAGAGGACGATGCAAGAAGTCGCCCAGTATTTATAGTATAGGGAGAGTGACCCCTAGTGACAATTTGGGAATTAAGGAGGAGCTAACTCCGACAGCTTCAGTAAATTATAAATTTTATATGGTTGTGCTATAAGGCTTTCACTGATCACCAGAATGAAATTCTAACGCTACGATTTTGAACCTAAACTTAATCTTCTAAACTCGTTTCCTCAAAGAATGGTAACGAACTAGAAAAGAATATTTTGTGTCATTATTTATCATGTCAAACCGCAACTTTCAAATTGAGTGTAATACC